TTTTTTTTTTTAAACATCTACAGGACAAACGTGAATAATCTTAGGTTACTTGCAAGAATGCTAACATCACTTTATTAATAAAATGACCCTAGCTAATTTCAGTAGTTAATGCGCTATTAGCAAAATTTGAGGAGAAAACTGTGTCATCCATAGCCAAATAGAAGGATATTCTGCTAGGCGACGTATCCCTATCGAATATTAGCTAGGTCAATTATTACTGGCTGAAATCCTATCAAAATCTACTTTAACAATGTTGACTTCATTGAACATTAGCTTGTAATATTCCTGCTAAAAGTAATTAGCTAGGAATATTTCAATAGGAAGTATTCTGCCTTTTTTTTTCATTTGGATTCATAAGTTTTCCTTGCCAAATTTAGCTAGGTATACTTCCTAGCTTACACAAAGACTACCATCACAATTTGAAATAGAATTGATATATATTGAAACCAACTTTCAACAATTGAATCAATTCAAATCCCACCAAATTATATAAATGTATCTTGCACAACAATTTCAAATATTACCCTTAGTTCTTAAAGATGAAGTACATTATTTACAAGTAAAATAAAGCATGTCTAAACTTTAAAGAGTAATAACGTCTTCCTCCTTTTTCCTCCTCTTTTCTCATCTAGTATAGTTTTTTCTGCTTCTTCATCTTTATCTGTTGTCATGTTCCTTTCCATGTCTTTCTTCTCTATTACAACACCATCTTTATTTCTAGGTCTAAAAAAAATCAATATCAGTTAGGCTGTCAGCCTGTCAAAGATGCCTGAATATATTCAAGCACCCTATCTCTTCTTTCAACCAAAAGATTGTGAAATGAAGAAAACTCCTCGTAAAATGTGAAACTCTCATACCTTCAACAATAGACACAACAGCTTGAGCACTTCCAGAAAATAAGGTATCCTTGGGGTTCAATTCAAACAAGGTATACGAATTGTTTGCTTCAACTAATTCATAAGAAACTTTTGTTAGAACTGTATATGATCATGCATGCATATTTCTTTTAGAGTCACATTCTAGCTTTAGTGGGAGGATTATTTTACATGAGTATTGTTGTAGTATACCGATATTTTAATGTTTTCTTTGGAACCTACATTGACTTATGTCAATATAGGCATAGGTTTTACAGACGAGCAGGCTACGAGTTAGGACCACCTCCCACTGTAGCAGACTTTGGTGAGCTCCATTTCAGATCATGGAGTTTATTGCTTTGATTCCATCCCTTTTATTTTGTGTTATTATTTCTAGTTAAAAATTTGCACGTGAGTTATGTCCCAAACAAACTGCCCTAATTTTTTAGAGGCTTCATAGACTTTTAGGCTCAGAGTTTAAAGCTAGATACTATTATATTTTTGTATCAGATGTTTATTTGACTTGTTTAGCCGAAAGTTAACAAATTGAAAGTTGGAAATTTCCTAGGTTTGAGAGTAGGTCGACTTTACGGTTATCGGGTTTGGATTTTGATTTTGGTACTTAGAATAAGTTCTTTTTTCTATTGGAAACTTGTCGGCAAAATTTGGTGCAATTTGGAGTTAGCTAGATAGGATTCGGACACGTAGTTGTGATTATAGAGGTTCTTGAGTTTTCTTTTGAATTTCATGTGTTTTGATGTTCGATTCGTGGTTTTAGATGTTATTTTCATATTTTGATCACGCAAGCTAGTTTATATGATGACATTACACTTGTGTACATATTTGGTTTGGAGCCCGAGGGGCTCGGGTGAGTTTCGAACGCGTTTCGGATGAGTTTGGGATAGTTGAACACTACTGGTGTGCTTCAGTTCTGGTGCTGAGCTGCAGGTATTGCTTTGCGATGACCTGTTCGCAAATTTGAACTTCACTTTTGCGAAGTTGAGCTTGAGCTTGCAATTGCGAAGGGGGATTGGGCAGGGCAGTCTTCGCATTTACGAAAAAAAATCCTCAATTGCAGACATCCCAGACTTCGCTTTTACGATGGCTTGGTAAGAAAATATAATCTATTTTCCTTCAATTACCTACTACTTTTCATGTGTTTTTAACATCAAATCTTGTATTTCCATGGTAGAAATTAGGGATTTGGGTAGAAATTGGAAATTTTATAAAATTGGGATTTAGACCTCAAACTGAGGGTGGATTTCAAAATAAATTACATAACCGGGCTCGGAGGTAAATGGATAATCGAATTTTTGGTCAGAATCTCGAATTTTGATCAAGCAAGCCCGCGGTTGACGTTTTCAAATTCATCAAATTCATCACCCTTCGTGCATTAACACTCTCCCTCACTAAAACAAGGACCAATAATAATAGGGAGATAGAAGTGACAACAACAAGTCTTACTTCAACATTTGCTTCCACAATATCAACCTCAACTTTGACTCGATACCCAATCAACACCAAAATCCGTACATATGATAAGAATGATCAACATAACAATAAACTAGTCTAAACATGGATAATATAATCACGAAAACTACAAATTTATGAATAAGACTCACTAGTATGTTATGACCCAACAACAACATATAGGTACTCATCACTTCACCTATGCATTGTACTCAACATTCAAACACATAGCAAATAGGCAAATAAGACCTAATTCCTCAAACCAAGGTTAACCACGATACTTATCTCGCTCCGCGGGCCACTTAATACTCAATTACCGCTTTTTCTCTAGTATCCACCTCCAAACCACTCGTATCTAGCCACAATTAACTCAATAACATCGATAATTGCTAAAGGAATCAACTACAATGCATGAATTTAGATTTCCCAAGCCTTTCCCCAAAAAGTCAAAAATCGACCCCGGGCTCGCTTGCTCAAAATTCGAGGTTCGAACCAAAATCTATTTATCTATTCACCCCGAGCCCGAATATGTAATTAGTTTTGAAATCCGATCCCAAATTGAGTTCAAAATCCCAATTTCTCAAAAATTCCTAATTCTACCCAACAATTCCTACCATGGAAATCCTAGATTTTAGGTTGTAAATTCATGGAATGCAATGGGTAATTAAAAGAAAATGATTTGGAATCGCTTACCAACACTTTGGAGA